GAATTTGCAAGTTCGGGAAAAATTTTCATTTTCCGCCATTTTAAGGTCCCGAGCGAACGGGAGTATAACATATCGCTTCCTCTCTGATCTTACGGAACATTCGTTAACTTTAAAAAGTTCTTATTGTAATAATTGAAAATAAATTTAAATTATATACATTTTGTTACTTATGTACCTGTCTACTGCAGTACTAAAAAAATTTTTACTAATCATATTTTAAGCCACATTTCAATAAAGTGGGGATAGATATAAAATAATATGGCACGTAATACACCCTCTAGTAGATGATTACACTCTAGCTAGTAGATGAATACCTAATAATGTCGTAGGTAAATATCATAGCCATAGGAAGTCATATGAAATTCTGTTGTTTTTTTCCCTTGTTTTGGAACATCTTTTTTATTATTTATGCTTTGCTTAATTTTGAGTGACTTTTAGAATATTTTTAAAAGGTGCTTTTTTGGTTTGTATACTTTCAGAGTAAAAGAGATAATGCAAGAACAACTGGAACTGGCGGCGGGAAAAAAAGCATTTTGACTTCAATAGATGACCTTATATTGGAGATCATAGGCAAAAATTCGCCTATAACTGATGAAATAGATGTAGAAACGGGCAAAGATTTGCCTACGACTGATGGAACAGTTGTAAAACCAACGACTTCAGCGTCAGTACTAGACAATAGTGACATTGATCAAAATGATGTTCCTGACTTGTCTCTGAAACCAACAACAAGTCAAAACTGCTCTCGTAATTTAAATGTAAACGATAAGTTTTGTAGGTAAAGCAAGGTTTGCTCGCGGTTTTGTCTGCGGTGATCACCGCAGACTGATATTCAGTAATTAACTAAAATTTGACTAAATTTTAAGTGTCTTAATGCATGTAAACAATGAATTTAGCATAAAAGTCATTTAAAAAGGCTTGATATGTGTAAATCAGCCATAAAAAAATAGAAATTAACTAATTATCTGCAATAAAAAAATCGCACTCATGCTAAAATGAAACAACGACCTAGTAATTGAAACAAGTTATTTTTTATTTATTATTATTTGTCGGCTGGAGAAAATTTTCACATGTGCGTTTTTGTTTACAGATAAAAGTAATGTTAAAATTGTCCGAAAAGGATCGAAACAACGAAAAAAAGAAAAGAAAACTTGGTCTACAATTGGAGTTCCTCGAATTGCTAAATTACAAATTAACACTAGAAATATTAGAAATGGAACGAAAATTAGAAGTCAACAATAAAAGTGATGTGAAAACAATAAAGCAACACAAAACACAAAAGGCACAGGCTTCAGGAAAATACAATTAAATGCTGCTATATTCAGGATAACTCAAATCAAATTTTATTAATAACGAACGAAAATATAATTTAAAATAAAGATGGTAATCAAACGGTGGTGATATAGTGTAATATTTTTACGATTCCCTACGTAATACAATTTAGTCATTTGTTGACATGGCTTTTTTAATATAGCTTACTTTTACATTAAATTTAATTTATATTAAATTTTGCTAATTTCTAAAATAACTGATTATCCTTTCGAGACTGCTCCGTTCGCTATTATCTTCGACGCCTTCAAATACATTATCAGAATCAGAGTAGTTTTTGTTATTTGAGACCTCTTCGTCTTCGTTTTCAGTTTCTCTCATATAGTTACACAAGGTCACGCAGAAATTAATTATTATTAATTAAGCAATTCTGGGTTGAACTTTTAAATAATTTAAGCAAGGAAACTTTTCTTTCAGAATTCCAATAGCATTTTCGATAACACGCCGAGTCGATTTATGAGCATTGAGAAATCTGATATTTGCTTCATCGTTGCCATCTATTACTATAGGAGTAACGAGCCATTCCTTCAGAGGTACGCAGAATTGCCAAGGAGAACCCCTTGTGCAATAGGTCTCCAGTCATTTTCAAATTGCTCATATAACTGACTGTTTCTTAAAACTCTACTGTCATGGGTGCTTTCGGGCCAATTAGCATAGAAATAGTAAAACTTTTTATCAGGACCGTACACAACCAAACAGTTAATGGAATTATTTCCGTGTCGATCTACGAATACTTCTTCATGTTGATGTGAGGCATCAATTTTTATCAAGGTACCATCCAGACAGCCACAAATTAATGGCATTCCTTTCAACATATGAAACTTCTGTACTACTTCCGGCATATCATTCGGCCATTTAACGTGGTTTTCAAACATTACGGTATTGATGGCTGCTACAACACTGTGGACTGCATTGCATACACTGCCTTTTGTTACACTGTACATGTCAGAAACAGCATGGTATTGAGCTCTAGTTCCCAACCAATATAGAGCTATTTGTAATATTAATTTAGTTGATAGGGCGTGGTTTTTGTTTGTATTTCTTTCTAAATGGCTACCCAAAATGTTAATTAATTGTTCCAATTTTTCAGCTTAATGTCGAAACCTTTCATTAAATTCATAGGTCGTCTCCAGATGACCGTAGTCAATTATTGTACTATATGTTCTTGGTTCCATTATTCTAATATTTTCATCATCGCTTGAGTCACTTCACCACATTTTTAAAAGGGTAATCTAATTTAAAAATATTACAATACTATTTGTGACACTTGTAAGACGGAATGGAGAGTCGCCAGACACTTTTTGGATTTGCTATAATTTTCTACAAATTAATAGTAACTTACAAAAGATTATTGATGAACAAAATCATGAATAAAAGTGTAAAAATATACTTGTGAAATAAATAATGACCCTTGTAACTTGTAATTTACACGAGTAGTTTTGATAAACACATATTAGTAATAATTAATTTTTACAGGAAAATTGCTTGTAATACAAGGCTTGTAAGTTTTCATAAACAGGACACTGATGATAAAGGAATAATTGTAAAGAAACTATAAGGAGAGGGATGGGCTAATTTTATTTTTTGAAAAAATATTGTTATGTGTAAACAAGTCATCAAACATCAAAATCAATAAATTTATTAAACAAAAGTTGCATAAACAAGTCCAATGGTTAAAACAGTAATAAATAGAAAAAGCAACAAGTTTACTAATAAGAGAAAATATAATTAAATATAATAATTAATATAATTAATCAGGAGCTAAACGCAAGTTTTATAATGCGTAAAAGTATATGGTACACTGCAGTAAACAAAACCAGAAAAATATATGCTAGTTTTTTATATATCCTAGTAAATTGTTGTGTTGAAAACGTGATTTTACTAATTTGATACGATAGAAAAAATATCACAAAGATACCTCTAAAAATTTGTTTTAACGAGTAAAAACCATACTTATGTACATGCAATCGTTCTGATTTTTTGTCAGATTATTATACAAGGAACATATTAACTTATTGTTGTTTTAATTTTTTAGTCCAATTAATTGTTTTTATTTTAAATTGCATTTCTGAAATATTACTTACGGATGTGTGCGTAAACGTCTGTGTACAGTAAAGTTGTTAAATAGGACTATAAATCTATAGCACGCTACAGACTATAAACTATAAATTTCCAGCGCGCTATTAAATACGCTATGTTATAGCGCGCTATTTATAAGAAAGTGTGTAGGAGGCTGGCAAGCGCGTTAAGTTTAGCACCACGCTATATCTCGGAGCACGCCACATTACGTGTCGTTCATTGGATAGACCGCGTGCTATATTATAAGAACATTATTTCGTAGGACGCATTTTAGATTAATATAAAATAAAGTGGTAAAGAGAAATCAATGAACGCTCTTTCATACTTTCCAGGTTTACGATTTTCTATAATCCTAAAAGTATTTTTAAGGCATGTACTTTTTTAAAACAAAATAAAATTAATAATTTTTATTCTAATTGATGTAAACGTTATTTTAACCTTAATATAAATTATAAATCAATTAAAGGTGTATTTAAAAGTTTATGGATTGTATTTACAAAATTCAACTATTTACAAATACTATTATATACTCTTTATATTTTATTTACATTTAAAAACATTAGTTAGGCTTATTTTGTAGCAGACAACTGTGTCCCACGATCACTTATAAATATACACTATACACTAACTAAACAACGTCTAACACTAAATTTGTTCGCGCGCGATGAATAGCGTGCTGCTAGATTAAATTTGGGTCACACGTTTACTCCCAGCGCTCCAACAGCGTTGCTGCTAGAACTAATTGCCACTCGATTTGTTTAGCGCCAAAGCGTTATAGCGATATAGCGCCATGGCGACTACTTAGATAGCACGCGCTATGCGGTATGGAGAGATAGTGCGCTATAATATGGCGCTATGCGCTATATTAACTAATGGTGGTTAATCACCACCACTCATCCAAATGACATTATTCCGCCTCTTTCTGTCTAAACTGAATTTGTACATTCATAGTAAGTGATGTCATTTTGAAGCCAAAAAAGTAATGGCAGTTATTTACCATCAGTTTAACTACAAAAAGTGCTAAATAGATTTATGATATTTCGCTTGTGTTTACCATAATCGACAAATAAGCGAAATATTTTTATTACGTTTGTCATTTTGTAACTTTCGATTCCCAATTATATTAAATGATGTAAATCTTTTCAAGTGCCGGTACACAAATAAATCTTTTCAAGCCCGGTACACAAATGTTTTAAGTGATCATAAAACTACTGAAAACTCGTCAGCAAATAATAAAAAATATTAAGTGCTTTAAAAATACTAGGTCAGACAAATATTGTCAATGATTTAACAACAAAGTTCTAAGTAAACAACAGGAGCCCGAGAGTACTAAAGTTATTTAATCTAATTAACCAAGGCATTGACAAATAGTAAAAAGTATATTATTATGATTGGTATTTTCATACTCGTTTCATACGTATTTCATATTAACGGATCTTAGTATTGAAAAGAAATGTTTCCGACCGATGACCGATTGACCGATGTTCAAACGAAAATCGTCGATGTCGACGGTGATGTACACAACGACTTTGCTGCCTCGGTACCGTCGTCTTCGCCTGCAGTAAACACCGAATTTCCCACAAATATGATGGATGCCGCCGCCTCCACGACCTCGGAGCCACTGTCTCCACCCGCAGCATCCGCCGACACTCTTAAAGAAAACGCTTCCACACCTAATGATCTATATATTGCTTTTAGCACTACTTTTGTTACCACAAGTTAACCCTTCATCGATTCCTTTGAAAGAATCACGCAATTCTAGACAATCACCACTTCCTAGTACATCGAATAGTACTAATATAGAGCAAATAATTCTCGATCTTCAATTGTCAGACCTAAATGATTCTCCTTACGTAGATTCTGAATCGTCTTACCATCCAGAAAATAACAAACCTGCAACTTCATCTGATACATCACGGGACGAGATTGAGGAAACAAATGTGCGAAAAAAAGTAAAAAAGCAAACGTGGAAGAGAAATATAGCAAAAAACAAACGTCAAAACGGTAAATCTTATATCAACAGAAAGGGTGTGTACAAGTGTACTGAAGACAAAACCAGATTACGAAGAGACTATGATGAACATAAAGCAAGAGAAAAAGAATCTTTGGAAATGAAGGCATACGACAAGAAAAAAGCATAGAAGGCGATGGTACGAAGCGTGCAATAAATAACATTTGACTTGAAGGCAATATTGTCAGAGCCTCACACCGCTGACTCTAAAATTTACTACTTACGGAAATTTTCTATCTACAATTTTACTATTTTAGATAATTATCAAAATACAGGAATATGTTATATGTGGGACGAAAGCAACGGAGAAAAGGCAGCACTGAAATTGGTTCAATTTTACTTAAGTACTTGATGGATTTGTCTGAAAAAGTAATAATTGTTACATCCTTTTCCGATACCTGCAGTGGTCAAAATCGCAACAAATATGTCACATTGGCAGCATTGTATGCCGTAATAAATGTTCCTCATTTAAAAACAGTTAACCTTAAATACATGGAATCTGGCCATTCGTACCTGGAGGCTGACTCTATATATGCAAGTATAGAGCGTGCCCGAAAGCATAAAAAATATTTACTGCAAGAGAGTACGCTTTAGTTGTCAGTTCTGCGAGATCCAGACCCAAACCTTACGATGTGATCATGATGAAGTACCCCGATTTCTATGATTTAAAAGCTTTAGAAAAGTCATTGAATTGCAACATGGTAAAAAACAAAAATATTGAAACAGTAAAGTGGATGACAATCAAATGGATACAAGTAAGAAAGGAGTCTCCGGGATCGGTATTTTACAAATATAAACTAAGTGATACGACTTTCAAAGAAATTGACATTGCTGCATGTAAAAAAAGAAGAAAAAGGGATCAAGTATTTCTAGTTTATACAAGCCGTTAAAAAAGCATACAATTCCCAGATGCCAATTTCAAAGGCTAAGAAGAAGGATTTAAAGACGCTGTTGAAGGATGGAGTGATCCCAAAAGACCACGTTGATTATTACACTAACATTCCTTCTATTGATGTAGAAAATATAATGTATAAAGTTTTTTTGCAAACGTACTAAGTGATACCCTTTTTTGCTATTTTGGTATTTTTATAGAATATTTTATATAATTGATGTTTGAATTTATGATAATTAAGTATATAGATAAATACCCTAACTAATTAAAGGCAGTATATACACAGTTTCAATGACCAGTTTTAAGTTATAGTATCTAGAAGTTTTGAATCATTAAAAACAGTCCTGCAAAATTGGCTGGTCCGTAATTACCATGTTTGTCTTCTAGACCATCGAGATATATATATATATATATATATATATATATATATATAATATATATATATAATTGATCTCTTTGTTTGCCCTATATATGAGAGACCACAATCACAATCAAGCTTGTACACTCCTGCATCTTGTAGAGGAATATGACACTTGACGGATGGTAAGAACTGATATATATATATATATATATATATATATATATATATATATATAATACTAAGTGTATAAAAGACATTTAAAAAAAAAACAACTAAATGTAATTTTTAAACCTATGAATTTTAAATACGTTGTTAGTAGTGACTTAGTATTCAAATGGCGTGTGTTAATGTGTAATTAAAAAATATAAACGTAATTATTTTTAAACCAATGCATTTAAGATATACGTAGTTATTTACAATAGTGACTTTGAGTATTCAACTAACGTGTATGTTGTAGAGGCAAAATTTTCAGTTTGCACTCGAGAGTGCAAATTCAATTTTCCTCTTTTGTTTTTTATATATTTAGTATTTGTTAGTAGTTTACTATATTTATATAAATTAATTAAACTAATTAGAAATATAATAATTTTTACTGGAGAAAGAAAGTTGATAATATCGACACGAAAGTTATTTCAAATTCGTAAGTACCTACAGCTTATTAAGCTATAATAACAATAAAAAAACTAAAACATCCTAATGCTTTTGTTATAATACTGCGGCTTAAAGATAATAAACATGACGAAATAAGAGACTCATCTAAAAATAGCTTATATATAGCAACAACCGGACACTTGGCCAGTGTCAAGCCTTTTGTTGTTGACGTATGAACCTGTTGAATTATTTTAAATGCAAATTAAATTATTGTCAATCACCATACGTAGTAGGTTATTACGCTTTTACTAGAGATAATTTTACACTATGTCTTTTTTGTATTTATATATACCAAAGAATATGTAACCACTACATTTTAGAATATACCAGACCTCTCGGTAGACACTAGACAGTACGTTGTATATTGTTCTGTGTACTAGACTCAGAACGACAGACATATAACATATATGTAATCACTTCATAGGAGTTCACGCTCTATCGTTCTGTCCCTGTGTTATAGTTGTTTGATTTCATACGCTCTTCTTTTTCGTTTTATAATTTATAATGTTTTGGCAATACTTCGCTATTTTAATAACAGTAGAACCAAACGGTTTGCTTCGTCGTTCGTAATGTCAAATCATTGGTATTTACTAGCATCTGTCTTTTCATCTGTTTCCTTTTAACCGACTTCAAAAATAAGGAGGCATTCAATTGGACTGTATATTTATTCTATGTGGGTTACCTACAAAAAATTCTTCTGGGTGAACAGATTTTATTTATTATGTATTATGTGATTATGTTTATGAGTATGCTGTCACGTCGTCAGTTGATCGCCTGCTCACTCATTTGCGCTCCGCTAAACTTTAAAAAAGTTTACATATTTCAAAAATTTAATAGAAATTATTTTTACACAACTAAGTAGTTTTTGAAGTCGGTGATAAGACATAATGTATATAATTAAAAGAAAGTCCCGGCATTAGACCTATTAAATTACGTAGCAATTATTTTATTCCTTTTAGTTTCCTGAAGTCTGTATTACGTTTTTTAGTTTAATTATAACTAGTCATGATTCCATTTAGCTCACTGTACTCAATTCACTCTTCAACAATAGAATGATGTAAGCAGGCAAAATATTATTTGCGCGCATTTATAAGCATATGCACACATCATACTTGCGTATTTTAAATTATTTTAATTAATCAATAAAATTGAATAAAACTAACTTTACGGATTTTATCGCGTTTATTTCACTACTTTTACTTATTTTTAATTCGCGACGTTTCGGGTGCTTTACAGCAACCATGGTCACGGGGGGGGACTGAGATGTTTGACGTCCCAATGTCATAGTTAGTCCGGCTACCTTCAGTTTTTGAATATTAATTTTTGGTCCGATTTACGCAAAACGAGCTTATAGTATCATGAAGTCTTGCAGTGGTATGCTTAGGTTTGGGTTTAATTTTGTTAATTATAGGATCCCAAGCAGGTGGCAGCACCCATCCATCTTCTCTATTGAAATTTGGATGTTTTTTAATTTCAATAGCCTCGCGTATCATCCTTGGTAGGAATCGGCGTTCTTTTGCGAGAATTTGTGGTTTATCAAAACGAATGTAATGGTGGGGACGATCTTGAACATGATCGCAGACTGCAGATTTCCCGGAGCGTCGGTGCTTCACGTCAGCTATATGTTCTTTCACGCGGGTTTTTATGGATCGTTTTGTTTGACCTATGTAAGAGAGACCACATTCACAATCTAACTTGTACACTTGACGGATGGTAAAAATTGACTAATCTTCTTCGGCGGCTTGTAGTATGTTTTAATAGAAGCTCGCTTCAAGATGTAGCCAACCTTGTCTGTGACTCCTCTGACATATGGTAGTACAGCAGGTACACGCTCGACTGTGGCCGGCTTCACTCGGTCACTGTGACGTAGGCGCGGGACCCGAAGCTTGTTGTCTTGCAATACTTGCTTGACGTGCTGAAGTTCGGCGGCCAGATGTTTTCTGTCACAGATCCCTCGTGCTCTCTGAAACAAAGATTTACCCACGGTAGCTAACTGTGAAGGATGATGGTGAGATTCACCATTTAAATATCGGTTGGTATGGGTCTTTTTTCTATACACAGTGTGACCAATTGTGTTATTAGGATTTCGAATGACTAAAACATCTAAGAAAGCTAAAGAATTATTTGCCTCTAACTCCATTGTGAATTGTATTTTAGAGTTTATAGAGTTAAGGTGGTTTAAAAATGCAGTTACTTTGTCAGATGGTAAAATTGTGAAAGTGTCGTCTACGTACCGCTTGTAGAATCTTGGATTTACAGGAGCAGTAAGAAGGGCTTTCTCCTCGAAGTCCTCCATGAATAGGTCAGCGACTATGGGAGATACAGGTGAGCCCATCGCCACACCATCTACTTGCTTGTAGAACTCTTCCTTCCACAATAGATAGCCAGATGTGAGGCAGTGTTTGAGTAATACTGCATATTCAGCAGGCATGTTATTATATTCTAGCTTCCTAGTTACAATTGATATGCAGTCTTCAATAGGTAGGCATGTGAATAGTGACTGAACATCAAAACTGACCATAGTTTCATTGTCAGCGAGATGTAGGTCTTTTATCTCACTAACAAAATGGTATGAATCCTTTGTGTGTGCTCTGGTATGTCCTCTCAGTGGTGACAGTACTTTTGCCAAGTGTTGTGCCAGCTTATAAGTTGGTGAATCGATCTGGCTCACTATAGGACGTAGTGAAGCGTTTGGTTTGTGTATCTTTGGTAACCCATACAACCTCGGTGGTTTGGTACATGATGGTATTAGCGAATTTACGTCGAGATTTAATTTTTCGGAGTGTTTCTTTATTAAATCGCTAGTTGCTTTAAACGTGTTAGTTGTGGGGTCTGTTTTGACCTTTTTGTATGTACTTTCGTTCGATAAAAGCTGTAGTATTTTAAAATTATACTCTGACGTGTCCATTATTACCGTAGCATTTCCTTTATACGAGCGGAGAATCGTTAGATCTGGTCTGTTCCGTAAGTTAATCAACGCTGTAAATTCGTCTTTAGGAAGGTTTGGTTTCGGCACTGAACTACGACGTAACAAGGACGAAATATCTTGAAGTATAGCCTCCAAATCTTCCTTACCAATATTATTTTTAAACAGACAATCCTCAACGCTGCAGATAATTTCTTCGTACGGGATTTTTCGCGGTGTTAATGCGAAATTCATTCCCTTCGCTAACACCTTTATTGTTGGTTCGTCCAGTGTATGTTTTGACAGATTATAGACCGTGCG